GCTTGATCTACGTTGACGATTAAGATTATCTAGTCGTGAACTCCTACGTTCTGCATCGTCGTTCAATCGATGTTCGCGATTATGATTATCTACTCGAGAACTTTTACGTTCTGCATCTGCATTCAATCGACGTTCGCGATTTAAAGCATCTATTCGGGAATTTCTACGTTCTATGTCTATATTTAATTGACGTCTACTGTTGAAAGTTTCAAGTTCTGTTCCAAATTTCGATCGTCGGTCCGAAATACTGTTTCGAGAATTTCTATGTTCGTTTATACGTCGTTCTTTCATTAATCGTCTTTCCGAATCATCGATTCTGAATTTTCGTTGTTCTACAGATTTCAATCCTCGATTTTGAATTCTTTCTGAATTAGGTGAATTTCGGTAAGATAGTCCAACGTTCTCGATTTGTGAGTTGATTCGTTCCAAAGAACGCGAGAATTTTTTCATTGGATAAGAAGAACTGTCCGAAACTCGTCGTTCGTTTATCGTTCTGTGTCTTTTTTCCGAAAGATCGTTTCTGTTGATACTCAATTCTGTTGATCTCTTATCGATTCGAACGACATCCGTACTGTCACTCTTCCGTTTATTAATTTTCAAGTCGAAATTTTGTTTTTCTGGAAGATCAAGACAGACCGAGGATTTCGCGAAAATATTCAAATTTGGGCAAACGTCCACGCTGAAAATTTTATACGTTATTTTAATTACGTTAATAGAAACAATAGAGTACTTCTTATTTGTATTTTTTTTGTAGAACTGTTTTGTTATAAAGAAAATCGAATTGAATATAATGTCATAGTAACGAATTGATATATACTCATGAGGGGCACGATGAAGAAGTTCAGGACTGGTCAAGCTTCCGGCTTGTCCTTCTCTATCCCTAGCTACTAAACCAAAAGTCACACATGCCAGTGATACTAGCAGTAAACCAATGTACTGCCAGGATCGCACGGGTAAGACCACGTGCCTTGTACGCCTCATTCTAAGATAAGAAATATTATTTTGTTCTTAATTATATGAATACCAAAATTAAAGATGAATATTATATTTATTACGGTGATTGCAAAATATCTTAAACAAAAAAAAGTATAACATTTAATCTATTTTTCTTTTTCAATAAATATTTTATCAAATTCTATTAGATATTACAAAGTAAAATAGTAGTATAAAAAATAGATGATATTATACGAAAAAATTTGTATTTCTCCGTACGATTAGAACTTTTATTTTTAATTGTGAGTGAAATAGTAAAATAAAAGATAGACAGCAGTCGAAAAATATGTATTTACCTGTACTATTAGTACTTTTATGATGACCAAGATTCTTATTCTTGTTTCTTTGGAGAAGAAAATGTTGTAACTTGGAAGATGTTCTTCCTCTGAGCTCTGGAGAACTGCTGATGCTGGTACTCCCGGGGTTGCTCCTTTTATACAGATAGGATACGCACTGTAAATTCAATGAAAATACAATTTCGTGCTTATCAGCTCTAGCCACATGGGACTCCGTGCAACAGGGTGCGAATAATTGTGAGGGTGGCTAATGTTACGAATGGAGAGATTGAGAAACTCGTCCAGTATTGGTTAACCAGGTAGAAAATTACTAGCCGTTATCTACACTATATATTTCGATATTGCAAACTCGCTAAGAATCTTCTCTGCGTGGGTGTTTTTACGTCAATCTGTCTTTAAGATATTTTTTTTCCAAAGATTTCGATTATCGACTGCACATGGATTATTATTTTCTTTTTCTTTTCTAATTTTCTTTTTCTTTTCTAATTTTCTTTTCTTTTTCTCGATGTTTCATTTCGGAATTTTGATTGTTACCAGAGGAATAATTTAAATATCAGCTTTCATTTTGTTTTATGATTAGGAATCTAAGAACTATGATATCTGTGTTGATTAGTATACATTTTGTAAATTTTTTATCGATTATCCGAATTAATTGGGAAACATATTCTTTCCGATAATTACTTTTTCATATATCATGCCTAAATGGGAGCCCTGATGAACCCCAGAAGTTACTACTATTTTTCTAGAGAATAAATCATTAAATTGTATAATTTGAGTTCTAGAGGATAAACCATTGGTCATCCAAGAAAATAAACACTTACTAAGTCCAAGCAGTTGAAGTTTATCTAATAATATAATAGTATTCAATTAAATTGGTGATGGTGGACTTACTAGCAATAAATCCATGCGCTGCTGAGATATAATAATATTTTTGAATATGAAAGATAGTTTTAGTATAGATGAAATAATACCATCGTCATATATAATTTAAAAATCTAGATTATTTTTATCTATGCTCATCCATTATTAAATTCAATAATATTCAACTTATGTTATATTTTAAAACCAATCTTTTTGTTTTATTACTTATCGTATTAATGAAATTTAGACGTATCAAATTTCTTCTAAATTTTTAAGATGCAATAACTTTTAACTGAATAAACAAATATCATAACTATTTTTTAATTTAAAGTTATGCAATCCTAAAGCCATCTATTAGGAAAAGACGAAGAAACTTTTTATTCAAGTCAATAATTATTTACAGAATGAATATAAAAGTGTGGATGAATGAGGAAAATATATTCAAACTGTTTTTTTTTGTTCGTATTTATTATCATTTTATACAAAACACGCACTAAAGTATAAAATAGGAGTGTACTGCGTACAATTTATCATAAATACATTAAATCGTGTATTTACATTATTTTATATTATATTATATTATATTATATTATATATATATTTTTTTTTATATTCGCGTATGTATATATGTACGTAAACATATTTAGTTCAATCGACGAAGATTTATCAAAATTCATCGATTCAATTAAGAAATATGCCAACAAACATGGAACTCAATATTTCTCGCGTAACATCGTGTACAAGATACTAATTTACAAGCTTGTACTCATCTCCATGTAATATAGTAATAAATTTGTGGACAGTAGCCAGTGCATAATCTAAAAAGTTACCTTTGGCCTCTATAATTACAAGAGATACTCAAAATTGTGGCCATTAGCTTCCAGACATGTGTGGAAAATGTGTTTATATATAATATTAAAAAATATTTATACAAATTAGTGTTTCTTTAAGTGTGTATATACTTTTTTGATAAATTCTGTACATTGTCGTATCATTTATTATTTAACAACCATAACAATTGTTATCATTTAGTAGTGTAACCTAATTATTGTAGACTTTAATTATTTGAATGTAATACATCAGGTAAATGAGATAATTTAACAATAAGTATTCTTCCTGTTTATTCCTTGTTCTTTCATTTAATTTGAGTATCAGTTTATTTCTTTTCAATATTCCAGCCCTAACAAAATGCTATTATACGTTCTCAAATAAACCATAAGTAGCATATTTTCAATAATTTGTAACAAAATAACTATGAAGCAACGGCAAAAATATGAATAAGTTCTCAGTTGGATTAAGCATATCCCAAATGTATTAGTTTAATTGTTCTTTTACTACATATAGAAATATGCGCTAACAATTATGCAACGATATATCATCGTTGATGCTTTTCGCAAGTGTAGCAAACAATGATATGTCTTTGTTTGATATTAGAAGGGTTGAATATAAAAAGTTTACTATTGATCAAAAATACTTTGATAGTAAAATTTTAAAAAACTCCTTGAAATAAAGTTAATCGCTTTGGCCATTGAACGGCTCATGCATTAAAAAGATTAGGCAACTTATTTGCACGTTGGTCATTTACACAGCTAATAAATTTGACAAAATATAGCCGTTTTGATCTTTATCCCTGTCTTCTTTGTCTTTCCTTTTTTTTTTTATCTATTTCCCTCTATCATGTTGAAGCGGGAATATTCGTGATCGTAGTCAACATAATATTCGATAATCTTCGACCTGTTTCGAATGGTCGAGGCTAACGAGGAATCGAATATCACGTATATAAATTTGTTCGCAATAAATAATAAATTTTCACTGATATACAAATTTATACGATATATAAATTTTTGTCAATATTTTTTTTTAGAAAACGAAAGTCCTAATATTTATAACCATAACTAACATAATGACGAAACTGGAATTAGTTTTGGATGATTTGTTAGATGAAGACATTTTCTGCTCACTACAGACAGTTTCGTTTTCTTCCGGTAATGCCGTATAATTTGGGAACGCTTGAATATTTGCCGGCTGAAAAATACAATTAATTTTTGTTAAAAATAAACCTTAATATATTATTCCAAATATATATTGTATATATATTTCGAGCTCTTACCAGTGCCAATTTATCGTCCCTTTTCCTACAAAATGTCATATGTCTACCATGATAAAGACTTCTCTCGATCGATCTGGCAATTAGTTCATCGGTCAAGGGTAAAGCAAGTATGTGTTCTGCTAAAGTTCGACCTAAAAAATAAAATATAAAATAAAAATACATATAATATATTAACAAATTAGTTTTTGAGATAAAAGAAATTATGTTTATTTTTGCAGTATTTTTGTTTTTTTCTAAATAGATCATACATTAAAACTGGAGATACACATTTTATAATAAAAAACAAAATATTGTAATTCTATTATAATAAACCAACATAAATTTTTGTTCTTTTTTCGGTAAAACGATTTTTGGAATATCCTATATATGGGTGTTTCCACAGATAATGCGACTAATTTATTTATGTATAAAATATTATAATATTGGAACATACTATACTTATAGTATGTAGATTATAATTATAAAATTTAAAAAGAAATTTCAATAGAACCAAATATTGCTTCAGGAGTTTCAATTCGTTCTTACTTTTATTATATTAATTTACCTCTAAATTCTTCAGGTTCTTCGATAATAAGATGGGAAAAGACGTTATCATTTTCTTGTTCTTCTGAATATTCTCTCATTGCTTTCAACGCTGACTTTGCTTCTCTGATAATTTCCTCGTCGATTTGTTCGCTAGGTTTCGTTGCAGGATAAACTGGAAGTTGTTGTCTAGCTGTAGAAGGTAAACTCACCGGATCGGCTCTATAAATAAAATGTAATAAAGAAATATAATAAGAGAAATGAAAATTGTGTTATATATATAAAATATAATAATATTAATGTTATTATATTTTACCCAGCAGTGAGAAAAAGTTTTTCTAAATGATCCATGGTGACACCTTTGAAGCTATTTACAGCAAGCGCTTTGAAAAAATCTTTCACGGGTGTCATACTATAACAAGCTGCTAATGGTGTTCTCGGATAATGTATCACGAAGGCTAAACACATTTCTTGCGAAGCAGCATAACCTCCTATTGTTGGTCTTGTTCTGTCCAATGTTCTATAAACACATTCAGCTACCAATTCGTCACCTGGTAAAATTTTCACTTCTTTCTCCAAAGTGTGTGATTGTTGGTAATCGAAATCAAAATGATTGTCCTCTACTATTCTAGGAAGTTCTTTTCCTTTACGAATATGTTTTAAACTTAATCGACGACCAGCTAAATGAGAATGTAGTACTACCGATACAACGTTTACACCGTCTTCGGGAAACATCTGTGTGATAAAAGTTCAATAAAATGAGTACACGTATCAATGATTTTGTTCAATGATAGTTCGACCATTTCATTGATGTTTACCGTGTTTGTGCAATGTGGTGTACAATATCCAGCTGTAGCAAATTCTTTTTGTTTCGGAGGTACCAAATGAAGTGGACTAACTGCTACACCAGCTACGAGGATACCTGCTTCTTGAGCGCGGAGTTTTGGTGTTAAATGAATTCGTACTCCACTGCTATCTATTACTTTTTTTAAATGAGGATTATTATAATGTACTTCTAACATATAATAAGAACCCTCTTGATGTTCAGCTATGGGAATTCCCACGTGTTCTGGAAGCCATTCTCCTAAAACGATATACAATTTTGATTTTATCATTCTATCATATCATTATTTATTATTACATCTAAATGATATTTGAAATTAATGAGTTTTCTACCTCTGCTACCACGAGCCCAAGCCAAGACAGGCTGCAAACAGGATTCCCATTCACGTGGCATCGTGGGACTGTAACAAGGTGCACCAACGATTCTAGCATGCTGACCGAGAATCGGTGAAGTTGAAGCACACTCGTACACTATCACGTGATGAACCAAGTCCTCGTTTGCTTTTTCCACCAGAGGCGTATACTAAATATATAGTATAGATAATATTAATTAATATTATATATATGATATATGTACCGAGATAATTATAACACTGGATTAATTAATTAATTAATTAAGACAAAAAATTAGAATAAATGATTTTTTGATTTATTTTATATCACAAATATATTTATATTATAAAATAAATCACAAAAAATCAATTTTTCATAATAACCTGCACATTTATGAAGAATAAAAAATATAAGAAATACGGAAAAACTTGAAAATTATTCTAATTTCG